CTGCATTCTTTCAACAAAATGGCTGTCTTCTAAAACTATATTCTACAATTGGCACCTTCAATAAATCCTAAGATCATAACCCAGAGGCCTGTGACCAATACTAAGGCTCTTAGATGTGACACGAGTTTGAATTATAAGTTGTGTGAAAGCCAAAACTGCAGTTTGCAGAAGAATGGGAGCAATGAGTTTCTAAAGTTAGCTTGTGTTCATCCCGGTCTCAGAGTTTTTATGTTTTGAGCTCACAGGAGCTTAATCTGGTTAGTGCTGGGTAGAAAGGGAGAGGAAATGGGGTCAATAGCTCCCGAACGCATCCTAGTGGTCTCGGGGTCAACGGCCCTTCCTGATCCCTAACCCTCAGTGGGCCTCCATGGCTGGCTTCCAACAAAATATGACATAAACAAATTGAAAAATATTCCATGCTCATGGATTGGAAGAATAAACATTGTGAAGATGTCCCATCCTACCTAAGGCAATCTGCAGATTTAATGCATTACCCATCAAAGTACCAGCAACATTCTTCTCAGACCTAGAAAAAACAATACAGGAATTCATATGGAAACACAAATGTCCAAGAATAGCCAGAACAATCCTCAGCAAAAAAAAAAAAAAACAAAAACAAAGCAGGAGGTATCACATTACCAGACTTCAAACTATACTATAAAGCTACAATAATCAAAACAGCTTGGTATTGGTATAGGAACAGGCATATAGACCAATGGAATAGAATTGAGATTCCAGAAGCAAAACCTCAACTTCTCAACCAACTCATCTTTAACAAAGCCTCCACCACCTACCACTGGGGAGAGGAGAACCTATTCAGTAAATGGTGCTGGGAAAACTGTCTGACCACAGGCAGAAGACTCAAACAAGACCCCTATCTATCCCCATACACAAAAATAAACTCTAATTGAACCAGAGACCTAAATGTAAAACCTCAAACCATAAGAATCTTAGAAAATGCAGGATATACCCTTATGGAAATTGGAACTTGCAACCAATTCCTGAACAAAACCCGAAACCCACAGGCCATAAGAGATAACATAGACAAGTGGGACCTCATTAAACTGACAAGCTTCTGCAAAGCCAAAGAAACCATCAAGAGAGCAGGGGAGACAGCCTACAGACTGGAAAAAGTATTTGCCAACTCCAGGTCTGACAAAGGCTTACATCTTGGATCTACAGGAACCCAACGTGCTGAAAAGAAAAAACAAACAACCCCATTATAAAATGGGCAAAAGATATGAACA